ACTTTTATGAATAACGTTGGCTTGCGCAGCAGTGCAGATGGTTAAGCCTCGGTTCTGGTGAGTTACAGATCAAAGTGATAAAGCTATGGCTTTGTAGAAAGCGTGATCTTCGATGCAGACGATGCCTGCACAGCATTTATACAGCGTGTGTGCAAGTGCTCATTGCCAAGATTACTAAGGCTTGGAGTTCCGCTTTGGTCATCACTATGACACATTTGTATCGTCCGGAATGATGTTGATCTATTAGTGAGTATTGGCGTGCATGAGTATTGCCTCAATGCGTTGTGTACCGACGAGAAGGACTATAAAAATGCAAATAAAGCTGTTTCTCGTATGCTCTAAATTCCAACTAACGTCTGAAGGAAAACTTCCCATACATTTAGCAACGGGTGCAACTTCTGGTGTTACAAATGTGTCCAGAGATTTCAACTTCTAAAAGACGAGAAAAAACTCACGTCTACCTACTCATGCTTCCATTTCACTCTAGCATTTTCAGTAAATCTTCAATTTTTCTGCATAGTCATATGTATTCAAGGTAATGTCTAAAGGTGATGGTTTGTTAGCGAAATATGGGTGAATGAGAAATAGGAGCGGTGCCACCCTTCATTCTATCCCACGTTTCAGTTTGGGATTTCTCGATGATAATGGAGAACAAAATCATGGCCAGGATGCAAAAAAACAACCACATAGAGGTCATGCTCGATGAATCTGCAAACATTCCACCAAATATCACGTGAGCATTATCCAATTAAATGCCTAATGCCACGTCCAGCAGCAGCCACTTCTGCATCTCTTTTATCTCTACCAGTTAGAATGGTTGTCTGCACCACCGCCGCATTGCAAGTCACAGCCTCCTTCAAATTAATGCACTTGTTCCACTTATAGCCAGTGGAGAGGCCTCACATCTTTTGCTAATTGGAGGTGTGCTTCGATCCACCTACCATTGCTAACTCCCAAACAGCACCTTTGCCCGATCTTATATCACGCACCGCCTTCTTCACTGGAACTAGTGTTCAGTGGAAGAGATACCAGTTCGACTTTGTGAAATGGGCGCATGAAATCAAAGTGTGACAGTTAAAGCCCTTCAACAGACCTTCTCTCTTCGTTCGCCTGAGCGCTTGAACGGATTGGTTGGGGAAATCAATTCACCAGCACTAAAGACAGGGAAGTTGAGAGGAGAATCGACTGCTATGTTCAGTACAGTAACGGCGGCCGCAATTTTACCAAGTAAATGCAAGCCATGATCAAGTAAAGTCGGATTACATCGTTTTGCACGATCTTTCATATTTCCTTTACATACTAAAAAATTGGGCACTATTAAGGTCCATCATATTGGCAGTACGTTAAAGAGGCATTTACCGCAGCCCATAAGATCTCATGAATCGCAGTGGAAACATCCTTACTGGTTTAAGCTCACGATAAAGACAGAACAATGAACTAAGCTGCGAAACAATTCTCATGGATGACCGGATTTGCCATATTTGCTAACTTTGACTTAGAAATTACACACAGACAAACAGAAAACGTGCAGTCAGATGGCCGGGGAGCTTAAATTCAACGTCTGCAAATTGTTTGGGGAATGCACAACCCCGAATCACAGCCAGCACACTTAAGTCACATTGTGTAATTAGAGCCTTGGGGATAGGAAAGTGGTAAGTGACGCACATTCAGGGACACTTGATCCACCCTACAAGTTACGACAGATACGGACTTCTTTAATGAACCAACAAGTTAGATAACTACGCTCATTGCTACGTGCTTGCAATTGCGAGAAACCACAGATCTCGTTCATGGTAGTGACCCGAATAAACTAGAATACTGACACATGGAAATTCACCTTTCCAATG